CATTCGGCCTCTTACTTTTCCTCTGTAGACTTAAGATCGGGCTACTGGCAAATACCCAGCACCTCCACCAATCTGTTACGCACAAGGAGGACCAGGACGTACACGGCCGAAGGTGGCCGTTTATTTTGGTCGCGAAGAGAAGCGCCGCAGCGGCCAACAGGTTGATGATGGCAGCGTCGTCGTCCTCTTTCTTCCTCCAGCTTGGGGCAGCCACCATGTTCAGCCATCTTCGTTTTCTTCCCAGGCATGCGTAACAATATATATATATATATATATATATATATATATATATATATATATATATATATATATATATATATATATATATATATATATATATATGTTGTCACATGATTACAGAAAGACCACAACGTGTCTGGTCACAGGAGCAGCAGAACTGGACGTCGAGCCGAACCGAACGTTAGAGCACGCGCACAACGAACAGTCCTCTTCTTTTTCACAACATGGCACATACTCGCATTGACTGGGCTAAACCTCGTTCCATGCCTGTGGAATTATTCCCCCTTCCAAAAAAAAAGCACCACCCTGATGATCAATGCCGATTAAAAGTTAAAGTAATCGCGTACACGCACAAAGACGCATGATGAAGCAGTATCAGGTGGATTCGGGGGTAGTGTGGCTTCATCCGTGACACATGAACAATGTCGGCCTGCCGGGAACATCGAGATCGCCGAGCTGTGTCTTCAAGAAGGATTTCGTAGTTGACATCTGTGAGGCGCCGTAGTACTCTATAGGAACTGAAGTAGCGGTGAAGTAACTTTTCCGAGCGGCCCCTTTGGCAAACGGAGATCCACAGCCACACCAGATCACGGGTTTGGTAAATAACATGGCGATGACGGGAGTTGTAACTCTGCGAGTCGATGCGTTGTTGTTTTCGGATCCGCTCGAGTGCAAGCTGGCGGGCCGTGTCGGCGAGCCGGATAAAGACTTTCGCATCAGTAGGAATATCGGCCATGTCAGGCAAGAGCATGGCATCCAGCATCGTAATTGCTTCTCGGACGTGAATAAACCGGAAAGGAATGAAACCTGCAATCTTTTGAACCGCAGTGTTGTAAGCGAACGGTACGTATGGCAAAATTTCATCCCAGTTTTTGTGATCTTGGTCGACGTACATAGAGAGCATGCCAGCGAGCGTCTTGTTTAATCTCTCCATCAGACCGTTGGTTTGTGGATGGTATGCGGTCGCTTTACGATGAGCTGTTCCACTAAGTTTCATGACGTCTTGCATCAATTGGGCTGTGAAGGCTGTTCCACGGTCAGTGAAAAGAACTGTTGATGCTCCATGGCGGAGGACAATGTTTTTGATGAGAAAATTTGCAATTTTGTTGGCGGTGCCTCGTTGTAGGGCATTCGTTTCGCAGTATTTTGTTAAATAGTCTGTGGAGACTACGATCCAGTGGTTGCCATCATGTGACTTCGGGAAGGTCCCAAGCAAGTCCATGCTGATTCGTTTAAACGATTGTGACGGGGGTGCAGAGCAGGCTGCAATAAACCAGCAGGGCGCACAGGTGGGGCTTTACGGCGCTGGCAATGATTGCACGTTTTAACGTAATGCTTGACATCCTGGGTGAGCTTTGGCCAGTAGTAGCGAGTTCGAATCCTGGCAAGGGTCCTAGGTGGCCGGAGGAAGGCTCGAATCCTAGGTGGCTGGAGGAAGGCTCGTCGTGGTAGGCAGATAAAATGTCAGCAAGTAGCCCTGGTGGAACGACGAGGAGGTATTCAGTCGCATAAGGTTCGAAGTTCTTTTTGTAGACGATGTCGTTGCGGAGACAAAATGACCCTGATTGTGCGAATCCCGATGGTGGACTCGAGCTTGAAGGTATTTGATAAGTTGTCGTATCTCTGAGTAATTCCACTGTTGTTGGGTCAAGTCAGATTCACTGACTGCACAAAGAAAATGGTCATTGGTATCATTGTCCCTCGATGTCGTCGCGAGGGGAGCGCGAAAGGCAATCAGCATCAGTGTGCCTGCAGCCCGGCTTGTAGACTACTGTAACCTCAAATTCTTGAAGGCGCAAGCTCCACCTTCACGAGGCGCCCTGAAGGGTCCTTGAGATTGGCAAGCTAACAGAGGGCATGGTGGTCCTTAACTACTATGAATGGACGGCCATACAGATACGGTCAGAGCTTTGTTATCGTACAAACAACAGCAATGCATTCCTTCTTTGTGGTCGAGTAGTTAGTTTCCGTAGATGACAGAATGTGACTAGCGTAAGCGATGGGACGTTCGGCGCCATCTTGCCACTGAACGAGCACTGCACCAAGACCGATGTTGCTTGCGTCAGTGTGAATTGCGGTGGCGGCATCTTCATCAAAGGGCCCTAGTAAGGGTTCACTCTGAAGGTGCTGTTGAAGCTGGGAAAAAGCGGCTCTCTGCTCTGGACCCCACACAAAAGGAGTATCCTCCTTCGTTAGGCGGGTAAGGGGTTCAGCGATGTTAGCAAAGCTCTAGGCAAAGCACCCGTAGTAAGCGCAGAGACCCAAAAATTGGCGCAAATCCTGTTTGTTCGAAGGTGGAGGAAATGCAGCAACTGCCTTGGTCTGTTCTGGGCCTGGTCGAATGCCATCGTGACTGACAAGGTGGCCGAGAAATTGTAGTTCTTCGTCGTCGAAATGACACTTGTCCGGTTTTAGCGATAGGCCTGCCGATCGAATAGCGACCAACACGGACTGAAGTCGTTTTCAATGTTGCTCAAATGTTTTGAAAAAACTACGACGTCGTCTAAATAGACGAGGCAGGATTCCCCCTTCAGAAAGTACAGGACCGTGTCCATCATCCTTTGGAACGTTGCTGGTGCAAAGCACAACCCAAATGGTAACACTTTGAATTCGTAGAGGCCATTGGGAAATATGAATGCTGTTTTTTCCCTGTCGCGTTCATCGACCTCGATCTGCCAGTAGCCGCTGCGTAAATCTATTGATAAGAAATATCGCGCATGTCGAAGTCCATTCAGTGAGTCATATACGCGTGGGAAAGAGCGGACGTCTCTCTTCATCACTTTGTTGAACTTCCGGTAATCGACAGCAAAATCGAAGAGTGCCTTCTTTCTTCCTAACAAGTGCGACGGGTGACGCCCATGGACTATTCGAGAGTTGGATGACGTCGTCGTTGAGCATTTGTTTCGCTGGAAAACGTATTGCCTCTTGTTCTTTTTGCGACACGTGGTAGGCGTGCTGTCGTATACGCCATTCGGTAGGTTGCGTTATAATTGCGGTGCTTCACGGTTGGTGTCTGCTTGATTTTGGAAGTGGACGCAAAGCTGTCACTATACGTTCGTAAAATCATGCGTATCTACAGTTGCTGAGCAGAGCATAGATGGCGATTCAGGTCAACTGCACTGGCTAATGCAGTGTCACCTTCGGCAGCAGTGGCAATCGGAGCGAATAGTGGAGCATTCTTTGTCATCAATGGCTTCAAAGTTCGTGATCGCTGTTCGCTATGCCAAGTGTTGGTACTGGCCATTGAAATTCATGATCAGAAGCTGAGTCCTCCGATGTTTCAGTTGGACGATAGCGCGCGCGACACAAATTTACCGAGCCAAGAGCACCGAGAGGTTAGTTTCCACGATGTCACTACTCTTGTTGTCACAGTCGCTCTCCACAGTTACCAACATACTGGCTCGCGGTGAAAGTGCGATGGTTTCGTCAGCAGTTCAGAGTGTTGTGGTTTGCGCAACTGCATCCTTTTGTGTGGCTGTATGGTCGTTAGAGAACATTATGAGCAGGTCGCGAAGGTTCATAACAGCTCCATGCTCGCGGAGAAAACCCATTCCGAGAATTAGGTTTTGGGCACATTCGCGCAATACGACGAAGGAAGCAATGTTTGTCGACTCACGAATTCGGAGGCGGGCAGTGCACAATTCCAGTGGTGTCAATAGGTGACCTCCCGCAGTACGGAGGTTGGTTACATGTCCCCAAGTTGTCGATACCTTTCTTAGCTGTGCAGCGAGGTCAGTGCTTATAACGGAATAATCGGCACCCGTATCTACCAGAGCGGTTAGCGGGTGGTTGTCGACAAGGACAGAGATGCGAGCAGAGACACGTTTGTCGTCGATGGCACACGTCGGTGAAAGGATGTCATCAAATGTCGGCAGAAAGTTCGGCGGAGGTTCTTGTAATGGTCGATCAACAGCGGCCTCATCCCCAGAGGTCGCTGTTATTAGTTTTCCGGCGTGGGCTCGTGGATATAGGCAATCTTCCTGCAAGGACGTCCACAAAGGTCGATTGTTGGCCAGGTGACATGGAACAACGTGTAGACGGTGAGTGGGATTGGCGACGCGGAAAGGTTGAGGATTGCTGGCTTGCCAAGCATTCGGCGATAGCACGGGGCTGCTCACCATCTCTAGGTCGACGAGCATCTGGACGAAAGCCAAGAAGACCCACACGGTAGATGTCACTCACGGTAGATGTGACCTGGTTCACCACAGTGATAACAGAGAGGCCGGTTGTCGGGAGCACGCCATTTACTGGATTTCTGTGTAAGGGGTGGGTTGCCGTACTGCGGTGGTCCTGAGTAGAATGACGGCGCCTTCTGCAGGGTGGACGGACGGGACGGATAGTGAACAGCCGGTGCAGGAGTACGTATTGCTTCCGCATACGTTAATAGCAGAGCTTCGGCTGGACGTGGGGCCGTCATGGGTTGGACCTCGGCTGGACGCAGAGTCGTCATGGGATGCACCAGCTGCCGGACCTCTTCGCGAACGACATCCGTTAAAGCAGCAACATGTGGCTGAGAAGACACCGCCTGCAGCTTTTGCAGCTCTTCGCGCACAATACTGCGCAAGAGCTCCGTCAGGTTTCTTATAGTCGTGACGTCAGGTGTTGGCAGTGCCGATGACATTGACGAATTACTTCTAGGAACGCTCATACTGATACGAACGCTGCCTTAGCAGTTCTCTCCATTGTTGTCGCTTCGCGGAGGAAATCCTCTACGGTGCTGGGAGGGTTTCGCACTAGTCCAGCAAACAACTGCTCTTTACCTTCCAGCATCAGGGGGTGCACCTCCTTCTCTTTCGTCATAGAAAAGTCAGCTCGCCTGAACAGCCGTGACATGTCCTCCACGAACATGGCAGCACTCTCGTTCGGGCACTGATTTCGGGAATTAAGAAGCCGTTCCACTTGCTCTTTTCGGTCAGAGCTTCGGAACGTATTTCGCAACTGGTTGCGAAACTCTGGCCAGGTTGTCATAGTGGTTTCATGGTTTTCGAACCAAGTGCGCGCAGAGTCCTCGAGGTAAAAGTAGACATACCGAAGCTTTCGCTGCTCGTTCCACTCATTGACGCTGCCTGCAACGGTTGCAGTCGTCAAGCCAGTCTTCGACGTCTTCGTGAGGGTCACCGTGGAACGGCTTCGAGGTTCGCGGGGCGTTGAAGAACCATGGAGGAGGCAGCATCGATGTCTCTTGGGTTTGCGCTCCTGCACTAGCCATAGAACTGCCGAGTTGTGGAAATGGTGCGAATTCAGGAGGTAGGCCTAGTTGTCACCTGCTACGCCGTAAGTTAGCTGGTTCTTCCAAGTCGCGACTAGTGTCGGGACCTTGCTGCTGATTGCAGTGCACGCAACAATACCCACCACCTCCACCAGAAAATGCCACGTGATTACAGAAAGACCCCAACGTCTCGTCACAGGAGCAGCAACACTGGACGTCGAGCCGAACCGAACGTTAGAGCACGAGCACCACGAGCAGTGCTCTTCTTTTTCACACCATGGCACATACTCGCATTGGCATGACTCAACCTCGTTCCGTGCCCGTGGCAATATATATATATATATATAGTTATAAACTTTGAGAATAGTGCAGTATAGAAAACAAAACAATAAAATATTTATTTAATCCTAACAATTTCGGCTGGTGGACCAGCCTTTTTCGGTCCTCCGAAGAAGGCTGGAAGCAGTGTATCGCAAAGCTAAAACTATTCGAGACATACTCTCATCGTCATCATCATCGAAAGCAAACAGTCCTGACACGATCGGGTGCCATTCTTGCCAAAAACCGCGATGCAAAGTATGCCCTTACATGTGCACATGCCAACAGGTCACCAGTACTGGTTCCAACTTTTCCTTAAAAATCAAAGGCAATCTTGACTGCGATTCTAAGAACGTGATATACATGATAGAATGTGCGCTATGTGAAATACAGTACATTGGTCTAACAGAAGGGCCTTTTAGACTGCGTTTTAACAACCATAAATCTCATGCTAACACCTTGCCCCACTTGCCCATTTCAAGACACGTGCACCTCCCTGGTCACTCTTTTGAAAACCTATAAGTCACATTACTAGAATCTGGTTTCCGCACAAATTATGATAGAGGAGCCCGTGAATCATTCCTCATCTATAAGTTCAATGCCGTCGCATCTGGCCTGAATGAAAACGTAGGAAAACTTAGTTGCTTATCTGCGTAACTTGTATCACCCTGTCCAAATTTTTTCAACCTTGCTCACCAAGTCGCACTACATTGTCTGTATCCGTTGATTACGTAGCAGCTTTGTAACGTCTTTGTCATTTTTATTAGTATTTTATAGTTTTTTTTCTTCTCTTGCTTTTACCGGTCGGACTACTCTTCATGTTATGTGCTTTACCTTTTATGCGTTTCATCTTTTATTTGTAAACAACGTGCTCGCGCATGGAAGCAATATCTTTTTACTCGTAGATTAGGTGCTCTTTATATTGTGTGACTTGCATATATATATATATATATATATATATATATATATATATATATATATATATATATATATATATGGGAGCACGCCATTTACTGGATTTCTGTGTAAGGGGTGGGTTGCCGTACTGCGGTGGTCCTGAGTAGAATGACGGCGCCTTCTGCAGGGTGGACGGACGGGACGGATAGTGAACAGCCGGTGCAGGAGTACGTATTGCTTCCGGATACGTTAATAGCAGAGCTTCGGCTGGACGCGGGGCCGTCATGGGTTGGACCTCGGCTGGACGCAGAGTCGTCATGGGATGCACCGCATACGTTAAACCGACATTAAAGGCCCATATATAGCCTTTAATGTCGGTTTTGACATTTGTATCTTACTGATATGCACATGTATATAAACAGCACTCGTGCCATAAACTGTATTCTGATGAAGGCCGGACCCACGGCCGAAACGTCAAATAAAATAACTTCGTACGTGCGTCTTCGTTTCCTATACGAATAATATTTCCCGGACCCAGCATCACTTTTGTTTTTGGTATACTGAAACAATGGCTCCGGAGCAGACCACGTCGAAGCACATTTACTGGAGGTACCCAAAGAATGTACCATCTATGACTGTCGTAGGAGACTCTCAGACGAAGCACATTCATCAGTACTTCGATCTAGCGCTGGCTGATACTCCAGCATTTGTGTCCCAGTGTAGTGCCTTAATCACTGACGTGCCAGCTCTATTAGATTTCGTGCCTCGGAACACCACTAGAATCGTCCTACACGTAGGTACCAACGACCTACTTCGAGTCTCAGCACAGAAAGCTTTCGACAGCTACTGTAAGGTTATCAACCATATTGCCAAGGAACGACCCGAAGTCACCTTGATCTATGCCACCCTCATCCTACCAAGGACCAGAAACCGCCGACGATGGCACCCCAGTGAAACTTTCGTGCGTTGCTTCAACCGTGAAGCGTGTTATTTCAACGCTGTGCTAAAGAATTTGTGTCGCCGCTCTCGACTAGTATCTTTCCTGGATCACGGCTTCGAATGGTTGCCTTCGCACCGCGTACTGGCCGCTGATGGCTTGCATCCTAATTTTGAAGGGGTTTCGCTCATGGCGAGCCACATTCGGCACAATTGTTACAAGCCATCCAGCACTAGGTCCCACTCCTGGTTGGACAGTGTGCCCACCGATCCCCCTCAGCATCACGCAAGGAGGCCTACCGTTGTGCGCGAGTCGTCTGACACAGCACTGGTGACTGGCCAAACGAGAAGTTGTGCTTCCCCTCAGAAGCCACCATCGCCCCACGAGCGAGTGACGCAGGACTATCGCAACAAGGTTTCTTCCAAAAGTTGCCCGACAGACTCCGCTACGAGAGGTTCGTCAATTGGACCTTCGCATTCAGCAAAGGACCCTCCAGATCCCTCAGCCAGTGGTCACCGCTACAAGCTTCGCAGCCATACCCAAACCGTGCGACAGGGACCTGCTGATTGACTACAGACTTTGTCACCCGGTAAAAACACTTCTTGCCTCTGTTCAAAAGAATTCTTAAGGTTACGGAAAGTTGTAGAAAAACGTGTTCGCAACGACCTACATGTAGATACTTTGAACACCTACTTAACCGCGTCTGTTGCACCTAAGGGTCTACGTATCATTGTGAAACCAGCCCTATCTAACATGTCTCTGCAAAATATAGATAGGTGGGACGACATATTAAGAAATGCTTCACTACAACTCACCCGAGTTACCCTTGATCATTATCGTTCTTCAAGCAAAAATATCTTGCACCAACAAAATCAAATGTCAGCAAATTTAAACCTCTCGTCTAATGAATACGCCGCACTAGAGGCATTCGCATATAAAAAGCATCGTGAAATTTACGCATTGAAGGTCAAGAAAATGTCGCGTGACGGTGTTTGGTGCCCTAGCCAGAACAATGCATGCAATTAAGTCCCTTTGCTAACGAATCCGGTACAAGCTTATCCCGATACTTCTTTGTCACCTTCCATTAACAAACATATCGTCAAGGAGCAGAACAATATAGTAAATATTTCGGACATTGTACTAACTGCTGAGGAGCGCAGTGTTCTGTGCCGCGGTCTTAATTTCTGTCCTGCCACAGGCGGACACAGTGAATTTCAATTACTGAAAGACTTGGATAATTTTGCCCGCAACTTACGCTTGCGCGAGTTTTTTCATGACCGGCAAAATACAAATAGTTCCACCAACGCATTACCTTCTGGAAAACGTTGGGTACCTCCCTCACAACGAGACAGATGCTTAGATATGTATATCAAAGCTGTACAACGAGACGTACTACAGTCGTATCGAAAGCAAACGCCGTTTCGCCGTAACCTAACCACCAGTGAAATGAAAGCATTAAATGCCTTGTCCTGTCGCAATGACATCGTCATCAAGCCTGCAGACAAAGGTGGGGCTGTTGTCGTAATGAACAAGTCTGATTATGAAGCAGAGGCCCAAAGACAGCTCGCAGACACGAGTTTTTACAAGCGTCTAGATCACGACCCCACTGAACAATTTAAATCTCTTGTCCAGAGCACTTTGCTAGAGCTTCGGGAAAACAAAAAGATGCCTGACAATGCGATTCATTCTCTTATTCCCCTAAGTCCTGTTCCTGGTCGTTTTTACCTTTTGCCTAAAATACACAAGATAAACAACCCCGGCCGTCCCATTATTTCAGGTATAGGTACTGTCACAGAAAAATTGTCCAGCTATGTCGATTCTCTGATCAGCAGTATCCCAGCATCGCTTCCATCTTACGTAAGGGACACTACCGACTATGTTTCTGGTATAATTGATCTGATTGTTCCTCAAGGTTCCTTTTTGGTCACGCTAGACGTATCGTCTTTAAACACCAACATTCCGCATGTAGACGGAATAGCGGCAGTCGCCAGGTCCTATGAAGCAGCATCACCGAGTAAATTTATCGACAGCAACACATTAGCAGTATTGCTCAGGCACATTTTAGAGCTAAATAACTTTCAATTTGAAGGGCAACACTATGTTCAAGTTAGCGGCACGTCAATGGGTACGCGTATTGGACCCAACTACGCCAATATATTCATGGGCCAGCTTGAAAGTGAATTTTTGCAAACCCGCGCGCTGAAACCTTTTTATTATAAACGTTACATTGATGACATTTTCCTTATTTGGCCGCATAGTGAACAGGAGTTGCTTTCCTTCATATCTGACTTTAATGATGCCCATCCATCAATATCATTTTCTCATACCTATTCCACATCAACTCTTAGTTTTCTTGATGTAAGCATTTCAATTGTAAATGATAAGCTATCCACTGCTCTATACAGGAAGCCTACAGACCGGCAACAGTATTTGCACTTTGACAGTAGCCACGTGAAACATTGCAAAACTAGCATCCTTTACAGTCAG